TAGTTTATACTATAATTTAATGAATCACTCATTACCTATATGTTACTAAATAAATTTCTTCATTATAAGTTTTCTCATTTATGAGATGGTGCTAATATAAATATCTGCATTATATAAACTAAGAGCAAATATAGGAACATTTATGAAAATTTATATGTATTTATAAATTATTTGTATGCAAAATTAGTAACCTTGTCCTAAGTATTCATTGCTGAATCTACTTGAACCTGAAGTAATTCTTGGAATATAGTATCACACAATGAATACATGTTAAATAAATGAATGCTTTAAATAATGTAATTTGTTATAAATTATATAATACCATAAGTGAATTTGCAAAGATTTAGTTGTTCAGTGTTGGCACTTCAATTCCCCCTCTGACTGACATGTGGTACACATTAGGTATGTATTATTATTCCAAAATATAGTAATTATTGGAACTTGAAAGCTGAGAATTTTACTCAGTAGGATCCTGAATAAACCTGAAGTTCAAGCATTTTCTCTACTGCAAACATCCTATTAAAGGTCAGGGGGGAAAAAAAAGCATTTTCAAACACTAGTTAATGATGATAAAATGATCCTTCTGAATTAATATTTTGATGTCCCATCTTCCACTCCAAATCTGTCGCTACAATAGATGAAATATAAAGAGTGCAGTTAGCAAGATGTTTAGAGGGGCCGTGAATGAAGGATAATTGAAATGAGATGAGTCCTTTCTTGATGATTATTGAAGATGGGTCATAGAAACATGGGTGTCCCTTATATCATCTCTATATGTGTTTCATTTTCTGTAATAAAAATATGGGAAAGGAAAATATAACCTTAATCAAAAGTATTGTAAGCCAGTTGTGGTGGTACACACCTGTAATCCCACTACTTGGGAGGCTGACACAGGAGGATCTCTGCACATGTACTGCAAACCTGGGTTATATAGCAAGACCCAGTGTCAAAAAGACCAAAAAAAAAAAAAGATAATCATTTTCATGTGGTAGAAATGGAATACAAAAACAAGAGGCTCTCATGCTATGAACTTTTTGGTTTACTGCAGAGTGGATGGGTTTAAAAAAAAAAAAAAATAGAAGGTCACAAATATAAAAGGTAAGCAGGGTGGGAGAATATGCCCTTGATAAATTCTCAGAAATATGCAAAAACAAACAACTATATGGATGCTAATTGCAGCATTATTAGAAAGATTGCTTTCTGGAGGTTTTTTAGAGTGGGTCTCACTATATATATAGCCCAGGGCAGCCTTGAACTCTTAAGTGGTCTTCCTACCTCAGCCTCCCAAGTGCTGGGATTACAGGGGTATGTCACTATGCCAGGCTTCAGGTGCTTTTTAGTAGCATAGTAAAAAGTAAATTATGGTTTACTTTTATAGTATAATTCTAAAATATGGTAATTAAAATCATTAAATTACATCTGAATGCTTTTTTGTTAGCAATTTCTTACCTTCTGGCATAACATAATGTTCTTAGTTTTATTTTGTAATGTAAGTGCCTCAGCTCTTTCTCTGAGGAGTTCTGGTTTATTTCACTGAAAAATACAATTTAAATATTAAGGTGGTCTGAAAATAAAAGTAACTAGGCATAGGTATCTGCTGTGCAGTATAGTAAGTACCAAGTTGTGAGGGGTTTTGACTAACTGAACTGAGCTATGCATACATTCTTTAGAAGTCTTTGATGAAACTGAAGATGATTAGTGAAAAAAAATGATAGTATACCCTACAAAGTCTTATTTTGTACCTTTTTAGGCTCCTGGTTAGTGTAGGCCACTTTTTTTTCCATTTTGTGCTTCTGGAAGGAGTCCACATTATAGTAAGTTACATCCCCAGTCACTCTTTTTTTTTTTTTTTTTTTTTTTTTAAGCAGCTCTTCGTAAGCTACCCAGACTAGCTCAAACTTAATCCTCCTGCCTCAGCTTCCCACACTGCTGGGATTACAGGTATATGCAACCACACCTGATTGTGTTTTTTAAAGATAATAAACTGATACTTAATTATTTGAATAAAGTCTTGAACAGAGCATCTCTTCTACATTTGAACAGTTGATAATTCACAGTTCATAAAATGATACCAGATCTGCTCTGTCTAATGTTTCTGTTCCGTTTCCTGATACATAGTCAACCTTTTAAAATGCTCACTTTAAAAGAAGATGTAGAATTTTACACGTGTATTTGAATGTTACTTTAATAGTGAACGTGATGCACTTGAACAAGAAGTACTTGAGCTTAGGAGAAAACATGAAATACTTGAAGCCTCTCACATAACTCAAGCTAAAGAAAGAAGTGAATTATCAAAAGAGGTAAGCCTATAATAGAATCATTTATATTTTATTGTATGACACTAATGGAAATAGCCCCGGGCAAAAGTATGGGTGGGACATTTTGCCTTTTTGATGTAGTTATCAGAAAAGAAAAAAAAAGAGAGAGAGAGACTTTTAATAGTTCTTTTGGATAGAAGATTGCAGAGTAGGAGTTTGTTTACCCTTTTAAAGGGAAGATTTGATGTGATGCGTGGCAGCAGGATGCAAGAAGCTCACCGAGGCCACTGTGGAGAGGAAGACAGCACCCTCTGGACGCTGCTGTTTGTCCACAGGTGGTGACCTTACAGCAGACCGTGACTTTGCTGCAAAAGGATAAAGAATATCTCAACCGCCAGAACATGGAGCTCAGTGTACGCTGTGCCCATGAAGAGGATCGCCTTGAGAGGCTCCAGCTTCAACTTGAAGATACCAAAAAGGCTCGAGAAGAGATGTACGAAAAATACATAACATCCAGGCAAGATTTATAATATTTTCTACATATGTATAATTTAACATACATATATGTGTGTGTGTATATATATATATATATATATATATATATATATATATATATATAAATTAACATATTTCTTTAGGGAATTATCGGTCTGGGGGAAGATGGTTTTCTAAGGTCTACCTGTGATGATATTAAGATAAATACTTCATTTTATTTCCTTATATTCTTAGTCTAAGGCAATTTGGTTTTCCCAATAACATCAAAAGTTTATTTCTTTTAGGCACAATCTGTTTTGGCTAATATGAGTAGGCCTGGGGAGATAGTTCAGCAGCATAAGCACCTACCTGACAAGCACAAGGTCATGAGTTCAATCCCTGGTACTGAAAAAAAAAAAAAAAAGACTAATAGAGTGAATTTGGAAAGAAGGCATATAAGTGTCTCTGTAGATGTGTCATTTTGAATGAAATTGAGTATACTGATGATTTCCTGACTCTGAAACATAGATGAGGCACTATTGATAATTGACTTCAATTCTTGCCTTCTCCTTGTAGATGTGTGGAAGCTCCCTTAGAATCTATCAGAAGCTAAAACAAGGGAGGCTGAGGCAGGACGATCATGACTTTGAGGCCAGCCAGGACTAAATACTGAGACCCTGTCTCAAAAACAACTGCAACAAAAAAACCTAAAACTAAATTGATAGTTTACCTTTCACAGTTTATATGCTCATAATTTTTTCTCTAGCCTTAGTATTTTTTTCATCAGTGTGTATTATACTTGCCAATATGGTTGCTGTTGGAAGTATTATTATAACATCAGTCTGATTTTTAAAAATATTTTTGTTAGCCAGGTATAGTAGTGCACACCTGTAATGCCAGCACTGGGGAGACTGAAGCAGGAGGATTGTTGTGAGTTTGAGATCAGCCTGGGCTACAGAGTGAGCTCAAGGCCAGCCTGAAATAAAATATCACTATGCAGTTCAGGCTGGCCTTGAGCTTACTTTGTAGCCCAGGTTGGTCTCCAACTCACAATAATCCCCCTGCCTCAGCCTCCCCATTGTTGGGATTACAGGCACGTAACACCATGCCCAGCCTTACAACAGTATTTTTGGAAATTCTAAAACTTTACTATATGTGCTGCGAAAGAGAACACTAAAACTTTATATCTAAAATTAAGTTCTGGGGCCGGGAAGATAGCTCAGTAGAATAAGCGCTTCCCTGGCAAGTGCAAGGGCCTGAGTTCAATCCCCGGTTCCACAAATAAATAAATGAACGAATGAATGAATAAATAAATAAAAATAGAAGTTCTCCAAATATAGTGTATAGAGCATATTTTATATATTAAAATCTTACGTGGGGGACAAAAGCCTGTTTGTTTCACAAGAGAAATTCATGGATATTCTTTTGACTCTTTGCAGAGACCATTATAAGACAGAATATGAAAATAAACTACATGATGAACTGGAACAAATCAAGTTGAAAACTAATCAAGAAATTGATCAGCTTCGAAGTGCCTCTAGGGAAATGTATGAAAGAGAAAACAGGTAAAAAAAAAATTTTTTTAAATACAGATTTTTGTGATATTTTATTTCTCTTTGCTTTAAAAGTTATATGAGGTTTGTTAAATTGAATACTGTTTTCATGAGATAATGCTCTAAGTAAATGTCAAGGATGAATGTTAAAATTCTAAATCTTTAATAGATAATTTAGAACAGTGTTTAGTTTTATTCTGGTAATGTCTTTTTGCCTTTAAGTCAGTTAGAGTGAGGATAGGAATAAAAAAGAAATTGAAGTATATAGTAGGAGACACCAATAGCTTTTCTTGTAACACCAATAATTTCTCCTGAAAACGTTAGAATTCTGGAATAGTAATGTGAAATACTACATATACCTCATTTAACTGCTAATTCTAAAAGATGTTATAGAAGATAATAGTGAAGAATATTTTGTTCATGGCACTTTTTTTTGAATCAGTATATATGCTGTATGCCTAGGTAGAGATTGGCAGCATCAAGAGAAAACAGTGCTGGTTATTTTAGTGGCATCTGTTGTCATTGACTAACCTTGTAATACAGCTTTTGAAAATTTGTACTCCAATGGGACAGTTATTCTGAAATTGTCTTGTAATACTGATTTACTAACATTCATTATGAAATGTTTACTGTTGGGAGCATGGCTTTAAATCTGACTTATATACTGTAATCTTATTTAGCATTATGATGTATCATTCCTATTAGAAGCATAGTAACAGAAAATCTGGAGTTTCTATCCCTCTAGTCTAAAGGAAACAGCTGCTCTTTTGATACTGTATGCATAAAATGGCCTGTGTTATCAAAAGTATATTTATATAATTATCCTTTGAGTAGTAAATTGCCCAAGATACTTTTAAAATTACTGTTAAATTATTATTTTAATACCAGAAGTTTGGAGAGATTTTTTTTTTAATTTTTTATTTTATTTTATTTGAGAGAGAGAGAGAGAGAGAGAGAGAGAGAGAGAGAGAGAGAGAGAGAGAGTGTGGTGTGTGTGTGTGGCCAGCTCAGCCCACCAGGGGGCGCGACTGGCTGGCATGTGGTGCTGGGGGATTGAACCGCGGTCCCTGATGCTTTGCGAAGCTTGTTCTAAGTAGGTGCTTTAGACCACTGAGCCATCTCTCCAGCCCGTTTGGAGAGATTTTTAAGATAATCCTGCTATCTTTTTTGAGTAGTATGGTTTGCTCTTGGGTTTCTTTTATAAAAATATTGTTTTTGTTAAGAGGGCAGATGCACATTTGTAATATTTATTTTGATATTTGCTTCATATGACATGGTATTTATGACTTAAGTGAAAAAAATATCAGATATTTATTTTCCTTATAAATTTGCATGCATAGATTTTTATCTGTGTATAAAGTTTGCATATAGGTATATGCCCAAAAGAAATAGTATAAACTTTAAAGTGACCAAAAAGGAAATCATTCATTGTAACAGTCAAGGAATATTTATTCTCTTTTGCCCCTTCTCTTATTCTTTCTCTTATTTGGTCTATGAGATAATTAGTCATAATTTAGGATTGTGTTTATCATGAAAATAACAAAAACATTAAAATGTAAAAATTCTAGGTGATCATTGACTGTAGACTAAATACTATGGGCATTGGTAAAATGAGACATAAAATACATGTTTTAGGGGAAAACTTGACTAATGAAAAATAACACCACTTTAGGCTATCTTTATACTTTGTCTCTTTTAATACTTCAATTTTGAGTTACAAGACAGTACTATAATTTTCTGTGATTAGGCTTCTTAAATCTTCTGTATGTGTTGAATCTTTTTTTTTTTCTTTTCTGTTCAGTAAGATTTTTTTTCCAAAATTTTATTGATAAACAGCAATGAGACAGTTTCAAATCAAATCGGAAGTACAGTTTCAACAAATGAGGCACTGCATATATTCTTCTTAGTGGCTAATTGCTGTACAAGATGCGGACGTGAGATCCTATTTACAAACACCATTAGAACAAATCATTCTGTTCATTATATGTGTTGAATCTTAAAAAGCTAGTTTTCAAGTAGCTCGAGGAAATATTACATCACTATGTATATAACATTTTAGTTTACTGCATCATGAGCTGGGTGTGGTGGTACACATTTATAACTAGCACTCGGGAGGCTGAGACAGGAAGATCACATGAGTTTGCAGCCAGCATTAGCTATATAGTGAGGTCGAGGCCAGTCTGAACTACATAGCCAGACCCTGTCTCAACAAAGAAAACCAAAAAAGGAAAAATAATGACTGTGTCATAAATACTTTTTTACCTTGTATATGTTTGCATGTATGGGTATGTAAAACTTATAGATGTTCAGAAAAAAGTTGTAAATGTACATTTAATAATTTTAAGACTGGGCATGGTAACACGTGCCTGTAATCGCAGCACTTGGAAGACTAAACAGGCGGATCACTACAAGTCCGATCTAGTAGTGAAAGACTGAGCGCCCTGTAGACCCTTCCCTAAAAATAATAATAATAATAATAATAATAATAATAGTAATAGTAATAATAATAATTTTAGGGCTGGGGAAATAGCTCAGTGGCATAAGCCCCTGCTTGGCAAGCGCAAGATCCCAGGTTCAATCCCTGGTATTGCAAAAAAAAGAAATAATAATAATTTTAAATACTATTTAACCACCATCAAAATTGAAAGTAGAAAATACAGCACTTCAGAAAAGCCCTTGAGGCCCTTCCTGCATAACTGCTTCCTTCCCTAAAAGTGACTCCTAGCATGACATATATGCTCAGAACTTCACTTTTCTTTAAAATTTTAGCATCTATGTCATAATAAGTATCTTTACACAAGGTAGCTGTTTTTCAAACTACATTAGCATCATGTACATGGAAGCATATATATTTGTGACTTGTTTTCCTCGCCTTAAAATTTTAGGATTCCTTTTTTATCTCCATGTTCATAACAGGTATATTTTTATGAATGTACATGTTTATGGCAGCAGGATATTGAGAGATAAATACAGAGATTAAAGAATTCCAAAAACATTCATCATCTTTTGCAAAATCTGCCTGGTCCCAGCCCTGTATTAGAAAAAAGCATCCTGTCCTTCTGGTCACTTGCTCTAAGGGTTCAAAATGCATGTCAACATAAGAGATATACTCTTATATGCTGAGCTTTATGTTAGAAAACTTTACATTCAAGCTCTCATGCAATTCTCAGGGCAACCAATTCACTTATTTAGCACATATTTATTAAGATCTACATATGTCAGCTACAATATAAATACCATAGATAAGTGGTAAACTTGGCTTTCACAAAGCTGATAGTCTTAAAAGGGATAAAAATAAGTAGAGAAACAATTGTCATAAGTATTATGATAACAGAAAATGACTGGATGCAAAGGATGAGGTTAATCTGTTTTTCTCATCCAGACTTGGAGGACTCAGGGAAGTCTTCCTGTGGGGAGAAATACCCATGCTGATCCCTGCTTAATAACCAAAAGTAAAGCTAGAGTTAGGGAGGGAAGGGGACTTGAGGAGTGGATATATAACATAGATCAAAATCTGCAGGGCAGATGAGTGTAACTTTTTGAACAAAGTGAAAATAATTTATTATGGCTAAAGCATAGATTGAGAGGCAGGGAATTACAGGAATGAAATAACAGAGGAACCAAAGGCCAAAGAATGCATTTGGATTATTGTGTAGGACCTGTGGGGAATATGTGAAAGAGTGTGTGGAAGGTCACAGACAGTCTGGTTTTATATCAAAAGGTCTGCTGTATAGAGGATAGATTGGAAGAGCAGAGGCTACAAAGAGGCCACATTCAGGTCTTGTTTCCATTGAGATATGAGGATAAAACTGGACCTGTGGTAATAGAGACAGAAATAAATGGGCAGGGACCAGGGAGATGGCTCAGTAGAAAAAGCGCTTGCCTGGCAAGCATAAGGGGCTGAGTTCAATCCCTGGTTCCACCAGAAAAAAAAAAAAAAAAAAGAAAAAAAAAAAGAAAGAAAGAAAGAAAATGGGCCAGATTTAAAAATGTTTAAGAGACAGCCCCAGCAAGAGACAATGACTAAATAGGGGAAAGGTAAGAAGTTAAGAATGTCAGGTTTTGGTTATACAGCCACATGGATGGTCATTGTGGTGTGGTAGTGGAGGTGGTGGTGGTGGTGGTGGTGGTGGTGGTGGTGGTGGTGGCAGTGGTAGCAGCGGTGGTGGTGGTGGTGGTGGTGGTGTTGTAGAGGCACAGAAAATTGAACACAGGGCCTTTACACTAAGCTACATTCCCATCCCCCTTTATATTTTTTCAAATGGAGTCTCAGTTATTAAGTTACCCAGGCTGGGCTCATACCTTATAATCTCCCTGCCTCGGCATCTAAATGCAAACTTTAATAGAAAAGTGTGATAATTTAGCTTAGTTCTATTGAGGTGTCTGTGGGATATCCAAATAGAAAATATTTTATACCAAATAATCCCATAAATTTTAGTTAGAATGTAGTCTGTACAAGATTTTTCATTCATCCTATCTCTCATAAAAGTAAACAAAAAAGGGGGATATAAATGATGGATCATTTTGTAATGGGGAAAAAAGTGTATATAAAAATAGCATAGATATACAGCTACCTTCTCTTAGTTCAATGAGAAGAAAGTTTTCAACTAATAAGTGTTTAGATAAGATATCACATCTGCATCTTGTACTATGAATAACTGCAACAAAAACACTATGAAATATATTAATTATTGTAACTGTCCTAACCTATTTTAAAATTGTCTCATTACTACTTTTTTCTCAATAAATTTAATATTTAAAAAAAAAGATTTTTCATTCATCAGAAAGATCTGGTCATAAAAGAGACCTATGGCATAGGTAACCATTTCTCTTTGTCTCAGTTACTCTTCTCTTGTTGCTGGGACAAAATATCCAACACCCAAAATGAAGGAGGGAAAGGTTTACTTAGTTCACAGTTAGTGGAGGTTTCGGTCCATACTCAGCTGGCTCCAAGGCAGAGTGGCACATGGCAGAGAGCAGCAGTTCATGGTGGCAGAAAACAGCAAGAGCAA